GCTTTTTGGCGCGTAAATCTCGCTAGGTATATAATAATTATAACTACCATCATCATTACTGTTGGTATTATCATTATTCATGTAATAGTGTAGTTTGATCGTCCGGGTTACCCCCAGGTCAAACCATTTACTGTATTATTATTCATAGAATGCATATCTTTACCATCAGTGATCCATGTACACCACTTCCTCGGAGATTGGGTGCATACTCCGCTAAATCGACCAAGCGCAACCATTCTGTGACTCGACTGTTGGTCCATAACAGTACATCAGCACCTTTAAACCATGACTGATTAATACAGCAAAATAGGGCATTAGTATCAAAGTTTACAAATAAAACTAAGCATTGTTACAGTGCTGACACTCACAATTGTCAGGAATTCTTACGCAAGACATTAAATTAAAAGAAAGCCAAGATATTTCAATGCCACTGACGTTGCACGCTACAGCCAGTAAAGTTTAGCAATGTATGGAACTGACCTCATCCACAGGATGCCTCTTGAGACAGTTTGGATGGAAATTGTGTAACCTGTTCCAAAATAGCAAGGAAGATGACAGTCGACTATTGTTTTAGTAACAGAAACTTTAAATGCATTAAATGTATACATAGCCAGGTTTATTATATAAGATAGGTGAAAACTAAATAATAAGGAAAAAGAAAACACAGGTTATCATGTGCTTTCAATTTCAATGACACTATACCCAGAACAAATGCGTGAATGTGATTCCACTTATCAAATTCTTACTGTTACTGAGAACGGCCTGTTAATTCATGACGTGTATCTTTAAGGCAGACTATATCTCCCTCTGTAGTTGTACTTGAATTCCCCGTTAAAATAAACCAACAACAACAAATAGAAGCACAGAACAACAACCAGTGCATGGAGAGACGTTGGATCTGATAGGAGGAATTAAGACAACTAAAAACACACAGGATAACACTAAGTGGGGCTTTAATCAAAAACAGGTCAATGGATGGTACTTGCTTATCCATCTAATGAAACCTGATGTACCCACCATAATTTGTTGCAATGGTGTCAAGAAAATTCCAGTGAGCATTTCTTTTCGTTTTTATCTATCTAATTTGCCGGAACGAGTTTGATTCATAAATGCGTAGATGCCTTTAATGAAATAAATTCGGTAAAAACTAATCATAATTTCACACTATTGTTCACATTGGTTAATATTAATCAGAATAATTTAACAGTCCTTACAGTAGGTGATAAACATATAAACCAGGAGTGACAAGAAACACTGCAATTGCCGGTATAGGAGGTATCAGTTAGGGCCCCTAGCGCTGTACTGAACAAAATTAATCATAGAATTAACAAAATGTACAATCATCACCTGAGGCACTGTATCGCTCTCTTTAAAGTGATGTGGTGAAGTGTGTTGTGCACTTTGAGGTGTAGCAAGTCACTCTGAACAGCAAAAACAAGACATATATGCTACAAAAGGTAACTTAAAGTATTCTAAAAAAAAAAAAGATATTCAATGCACCAAAGACATTGAATGCAATCTGTCCATAAATTTCATTAGAAAATACTTACCTAAAAATAGCTGCCAAGGACTTAAGAGCTAATGTCAACACGCTCAAATATGCAAATTTTCACCCTGAATATTGCCCGAGTTGTGTGATCTCGTGTAACGAATTTACTCGACCTCCGGTATTTCTGTAGGCATAATCCTTTGTTTTATCATCTAAACTTAATCCCCTGTCATTGCAAGCCAATGCCAGTAAACGGTGGCGACAAGTAGGCACACCATGTATATTTCATAGTCGCT